TGGAATCTGCAGAAAATGTAACAACTGTTGGATCCAATCAAGTTCAACAGTTGTAGTGGATAAAGCCCGATATTCGGCTTCTGTGGATGAGCGAGAAACAATATGTTGCTTCTTAGATGACCATGAAATAGGATTAGATCCCAAAAATACAACCATTCCAGTAGTCGATCTCCTATCATTAGGATCTCCAGCCCAATCTGCATCACTATATGCAGTAATATCCAGTGAACTCTTGACATAATGAATGCCACAGCCTTGAGTAGCTTTTAAGTACCTAAGAATTCTTTTCACTACCATGAAATGTGACTCCTTAGGGTTTTGCATAAACTGACAAACCTGATACACTGCAAAAGCAATGTCAGGTCAAGTGAATGTTAAGTACTGTAAAGCTCCAACTAAACTTCGATATAGGGCATGATTATTATAAGGTTTGCCATCATCTTTGAGCAACCTGTTGTATGGCAAACATGGAGTTGCACATTAGACAGCAGCATATCAGCCTTAGTTAACAAATCTGTAACATACTTGTCTTGAGAGAGAAATAAACCATCATTCTTCTACAAAATCTGAATCCCCAGGAAATAGTGTAGTGGTCCCAAGTCTTTGATATCAAACTCCCTTGTAAGAAAATGAATGACCTCAGTGATTGCTTGTGTTGCACTGCCAGTAATAATAATGTCATCCACATATAAGAGTAAAATCACCACAAAGCTGTTAACAACTTTTACAAATAATGATGAATCTGCATATGTGGATTTGAACCCCAAGGATGGTAGAAATCTAGTAAATCTCTCATTCCAAGCCCTTGGTGCCTGCTTTAATCCATATAAATATTTATGTAACCTGCACACATAATCTTCATGCTTTGAATCCACAAATCTAGGTGGTTGAGTCATGTATACTTCCTCTTGCAAGATACCGTGGAGAAAAGCATTTTTCACATCTAATTGCCTTAATGTCCAACCAAAATGTGCAGATAAAGCTAGAACCAGTCTTACTGTTGTAGGCTTCACAACCGGACTAAAAGTTTCCCTAAAATCAATACCCTCTTCTTGATTAAACCCTTTAGCTACTAGGCAAGCCTTATACCTCCCAATAGAACCATCAACATTCTTTTTTATCTTAAAGACCCATTTACAACCTACTAAGTTCTTATGTTTTGGTAGAGGTACCAGAGACCATGTACCTTGATTATGCAACGCTGAAATCTCATCTTTCATAGCCTCATGCCATACTGGGAACTTTAATGCAGACTTATAGGTTGCAGGCTCAACTTGACTCAGATCAACCCCTTTATGTTCATGTAGCAGCTAAAAGAGCAATTTTCATGGAGATGCCATTTTTTGACCGTGTCTGCATAGGGTGGAGATTCACTGGTGGTATAAATATAACCACTTGTAGGTGTTCCAGTTGGAATTCAGGGACCACAGGGAGTGTAGGAGGCAAAGGCTGTGTAATTGCTGCACCAATGGATTGACTAGAGATTGAGGCTTCTGAGTTTGAACTCGTATCTGCAGCTAGTATAGAATGGAGCTCGGGAGAAACTTGATGCATATCAGTATTTGACATAGGACTTAAAGTAACATTTAAACCTGGGTATGTAAAATCAAAAGATGGACCAAAGGTGGATGGACTCTGAGTTGTTGGTAAAATAAGAACACTATTTTGATCTCGTATTGGAATAAGTGATGGGATGAGTGATGGTAATGGTGCAAAAGTAACAGATTGGTATTTGAGAACCAAGGACTTGTAAGGAAACTCAGTTTCATCAAAAATCACATGTCTTGACACATAAACTTTCTTTCTAGACACATCATAGTAGAGATACCCTTTATACTTAGAAGCATATCCCAAGAAGACACATCTTGTTGTTCTAGGTTCTAATTTTGTGCTAGTGTATGGTCTTAACCAAGGATAGCAGGAACACCCAAAAACTTTCAACTGTTGGATCTTAGGGAAAGAATTATGCAGCAACTCAAATGGGGATTTATGATCTAATGTTGATGATGGCATTCTATTAATCAAATATATTGAGGTTTGACAAGCAAATGACCAAAACAAGGATGGTAATCAAGCAGTCTGTAACAAGGTAATGGATGTTTCAATGATGTGTCTATGTTTTCTCTCTGATGTGCCATTTTGTTCTGGTGTATAAAGGCAAGACATCTGGTTACTTACTCCTTTATCAAGAAGAAACTTTTGAAATGCCTTACTTATATATTCACCACCACCATCGCTTTGAAGAACTTTTATGGATGTATGAAACTGATTTAAAATAAAATTGTAGAATGACACAAAAGTTGGAAAAACATCACTTTTATTGCATATTGGAAAAAGCCAACAATACTTAGTACAATGATCAATGAAAGTCACATAATACTTGAATCCCTCTAAAGACACACAAGGAGCAGGGCCCCACACATCACTATAAACAATATCAAATGGGTTTACAGACTTTGAAACCGAATGAAGAATGGTAGTTACTAAACTTACCTTCTAGAAATGTTTGACACAATGAAGGGATACTGTCAGCAACACAAGAAATTTTTGAATTGCTTAACATCTTATAGACTATTTTATTTAAAGGGTGACCTAGCCTCTTATGCCAAATGCTGACAGTGACTTGTTTGCCAAGAAACGTTACAGTTTGTCATTTATTGTCGACTGGAAGAGAACCCGATGAGATGATGGGATACAATCCATTGTTACACAGCCCTTTGTAAAGGATCATCCATGTGGCTTTTTCCTGAATCCAAAATGAAAATGCATCGAAAATCAACCAGCAGTTATTATCCAAACATATTCTATGTACAGATAGTAAGTTTTGTGACAGTTTTGGAACATATAGAACATAGAACAGAATTGAGCTTTATAGGCTGCATTGGAGTTGTTAAGAAAGAAGAACCAATGTGAGAGATAGCTAAACCTTCACCATTAGCTGTCTGGATTACTTCATTTGCGGGATATGAAGTTGCTAAGGAAAGATTATTCAACTCGGAAGTCATATGATTATTTGCACCTGAATCAGTGAGCCAAACTTGTTGTTGTACAGGTGCAGATGGTACTGAGAATGGAGAAGTAGCAGCATGCATTGCATTTATTTATGTGGTAAAATTCTTCTGAAAACAAGTTTCTGCACTATATAAGGATTGCCACAAATCTGACAACCTGAAGAAGCAACTGTCTTCCTATATCTACAGGTATCAACAAGGTGATTGTTTTTACCACAAATTTGACAGCCTTGAAATGTGGTTGTATTCCTAAACTGGCAAGTAGAAGCCAAATGATTACTCTTCCCACAAATCTGACATGGTTGATTCTGAAAACCATAGTTTAGAGCCCTTGGTGGAGATGTACCAAGAATTCCAGGGGCATGGCTAGAATGAAAATTCTCGTTGTTGTCAAACTTTGAATTAAAGTTGGAATTGAACCGATTTCTACCCTTATTGTTGTAGTTGAATGCCTTGTAACCATTGGAATTAGGACTATTATTATTAGCACCAGAACCAAAGAAAGACTGATTTTTGGAAGGAAAACTATTGGTTTGTGCCATTAATGCAGATAACATAGGTAAATTAGAGCCATTTTCAAGCAAAGCTTCTTCCGCAAGTAGTTGAGATCGAAGATCTTTCAATGATATCACAGTCTCATGGCCCCTAATCACAGATCTTATGGTATTGAATTCAGCAGGCAACCCATTTAATGTAAGAATCACAATGTCATCATCATCAAAGAATACACCAGTAGCAGACAATAAATCTCTTGCTTCTTTAATTATCCATAGTTCTTTAGAGCTAGTACTTCCAATTACACAAGAAACTGCAACAGGAGACAAAGTTGCAGTAATTAATTGCATTAACGCCTTATCATACATCTTCCATGTCTTGTAGTCATCAGTTGGAACCCTTGTAGAGGAATCACCAGACAAAATTGCCGAATTATCAGAGGAATCTTGACTAAATTGAGCAAGACAGGGCATTGAACCATAAACAAAACCAATTATGCTATGGCCTTCAAGAAGGAGCTGCATCTGGAAATGCCAAGCCAAATAGTTCGTCTCATCCAATTTCACATTTACCGAACTTGAAACAGACGAAATCAAAGAAGTAATCGGAGATTGGAAAGTCTGTAACTGAGCAGTTGTCACCATTGTTGCAGATTGTAAAGAAATCACAAAGAATCTTGACAGAAACCAAACCACAAAGAGTTGGTGGGCACGTTTTGAAGATTGAAGAACCAGACTGATGATTGCAAAGAAAGCACCACAAATACCAGAAACTAATCTGCAATATACCAATGTACCAGAAACCAATCACAGTAGCGAAAGCAATCGAAACCAAGATCTACAAATCCGTCAAGCTTTTATGCTTGTTCCGGCGATGATACCATGTAAACCATCAGAGGTTATTGAAGAAGAGGATTATACAGAAGCAAGAAGGAAGAAAGAGATAGAGAGAGAAGTAGAAGATCGAAGATATTAGAGAGAGAAATCTGTTGAGAATTGTTCTATATTTTCTTATTAGTTACAATGATTTGTTTCAAGCTATTTATACTATCATTTGGGAGCTTACACTCTAAGTAACAATATAACCAACTTAACTATCTTCATGATCTTATGACACTTGTCCATTTCCTACCCATTGGATCTTAATACTCCTAACACCTATGTGTATAGATACAAAGGATTTGAAACAATTTACATCATAAAAAGGACCAATATAAAAAACTAATTCGACACCTGAGTTTAGTATATATAGGAAAATTATGTTAGGATGAATATATACCTAAATGCCCTAATGCACTGATATCTAACAATAATATTATTAGACACATACAAATGATCTCATTAGTAACACGTATTAATAGAAGTAAGTCAGTATGTTACACTCACTTATATCAATACTCAACTAGAGATTGTCAGTAATAAAATCAGTTTTTTTTTTCCTTTTACTAGGTAACGTTACTCTTCGATATATTCGTGCATTCACATTCATATTGCAAAATATCATAGACAAACATATTTATTTGGAATCATGAGAGGACCTGAAAGGAGAAGGGAGTTTTGGGAGTAAGCGAGGCTTCCTCAGTTGGACAGGAAGGGTGGTCAAGAAGAAAGTGTCAACCCAATCGAGTTTTTGGTCTTCAGAAACTACAAAGGATTGTCCAAAACCTTCAATGTCTCCTGGCTGTTGCGAAATTTTTTTCTTCTCTTCCATGGGTAGGTTGAAGAACTCTTGAGTTTCTGTCTTCATTTTCTCCAACAAGGAAGAGCTCACACCATGGTTTACCAACTGTAAAAATATATAGAGTGAATAAATACTATGGCCAAAAAACCTACGAAATAGCAAATTCTAAAATTTATTATGCAGGCAAGGTGAAAAAAACATAGGTTAGGCCCAGAAAGTAGCCAAGTTAACCAAGGAAAAGAAGAACAAAAAGATATAATATATTTTGTAGCAACCTAATTTATAGCTTAATGCCTAGGCTTCCACATCATGGTATTTGTTTGCACCATACTTCACCCGAGCAGGGGGTCTCACATGTAAAGTCTAACGGCCATATGTACTTCACGTTATCCAAGTTATGAATCCCAAATCGGAGAGAAGAGACTTTACATGTTCTTATATTAGTTGAGCTACACTCCATATTGCCACTTGATTTTGTTATGAAACCTCAGTATTTTTCAGATCAGCCCATTCGATTGATACCTAAATGGTTTTATCCGTAAAAACGGTCCTTAAATAACCAAAAGGTCGAAGCCATGAATTTCCAAAAGGGTAGGCTGGCTATTTTTAAGTTTGACTCACTTGTTGCTAACATGAATTTCAACCAACGACAAATCAAGGGAAAGTTTGATATAGAAGTGGACTGCTAATTTAGCTTAACTTGAGGTGAAATATATATAATTAATTACATGATTACATAGTTATGTACTGCTTTTCGTATCGCCAACGAAGACTATGATACTAGACTAAATGATCATCGACAAATTCCTCGAACTCGTGGGCGCAAAAAACAATCAGAACTATTTGATGAAAGATTTAAGTAGAAGAGGCTAGGTAATTTAATTACCTGAAAGAAACCCCACTCTTGGCAAGCAAAATGGAGCCTGGCTATTTCAGATTCAGAAATGGTTGATGTTGGAACTTTCCAATTAGCAAGAACCCTAAATCACAATCCACATACATGTATCTGAACAAGAGTTTGATTATCAATTCAATCCAAATGCATTTGATAGAAAGAAATAAATAACTTCTCACATTTGGCTGCCGTATGTTTGATAAAGCCATAAAATCCTGAATAAAGAAGAATCTTCTATTCAATGGGGACCTTATGTTCTCACTACAATAGGGCTAGTTTCTGTATAGAACATTTTCCTCTTGAGCAGGGACCGTTCCATATATAGATGTTGTTCCAAACTGCATTCCACCTATTATGGAGCAGTTGGTAACTGAAAGCACTACTCAATCCTTATAGACGTGGGGCTTTCCATCACTTCAACATGTTTGCCTTAAGGTCCTACTTTAAAGGAAGGAAGTTAACCTAATAATTAACTCTAACTGATTATAATTATAATGTGACAATTCCTTATCATGATTTGTAGAGTCCAAATAAGATTCCAACAGTTGATTCTTGGGAAAGCAATTGCTGCATGTCAATGGATGGTATTTGATGAGCATGATGATCAGAACTGATGATCTCTTGATGATGAGGCTGTATGTATCTGGGTGGGATTGTGAGTATTGGCTTCTGTACTAATTCTTGAACACTAGGAACAAGAAGAGAACCACCGTACAAGCCCTTCCCTGCAAATGCCTTTTCTTCCATACTTAGCTTTTGCGTACGCTGTAAGTAATGGGTGTTTTAGATAGGCTCTGGTAATGGTATATATACTAACTGTGTAGAATACTATGTGTGTGGGCAGGGGCGGATCCACAGTAGGGTCGTCGGGGTCGCACGACCCCTTGGAAACCATGGAAACAACCTTGAAGCTCCCATATGCGACCTCTTGGAGCTGGGGTCGTTGGGGTCGTCGTCAGGAAGAGGAAGAAGAAGACTCGGCAGCGGCAGGAAGAGGAAGAAGAAGCAGCGCGCGAGCAAATTTTCAAAACAGACGGGCAAAACGGCGTCGTTTTGGCCCAGGAAATTTTTTTAAATGACCTGGCCAAAACGGCGTCGTTTTGGGCCAGGCCGAACAAAAAAAAAAAAAATTAAATTCCCACCGTGTCCCCCCCAGTCCCAGCCTTCCTACCCGACTCAAAAGCCCCAATTTCTTTTGTTTTGTCATCCTCCAACCCTAACTCAATTCCCCCAAACCCTTAACTCATCTCCTCCCTTGCTGCTGCTGCTCCCAAACCCTCTACGTCAACTCTGTTTGTACCATACTTGACTAATCCCGAAACTACTGAGCACCGGTCAACGTTATACCGTCAAGGACCCAGAAGAGTTTCCCTTCAACCAGAAGGCCAATCATAATGCGACACGTGTCGACATCAGAAGCCAATCACAGCACGACACGTGTCAACATCAGAAGCCAATCACAACACGACATGTGTCAATATTAGAACAAAACTAGAAACTCTCTTCTATAAATAGGGATCATTCTCCCACAATAATCTCTAATGTCATTTTGTACTAAACTATTCACTAGAACTCACTAAACCAGAGCTTGAACCTATGTATTTGTGTAAACCCTTCACAATTAATGAGAATTCCTCTACTCCGTGGACGTAGCCAATCTGGGTGAACCACGTACATCCTGTGTTTGCTTCTCTGTCTCTATTCATTTACGTACTTATCCTCACTAGTGACCGAAGCAACCAAGCGAAGGTCACAAAACCTGACACTTTCTGTTGTACCAAAGTCTTCGCTGATTTTGTGCATCAACATTTGGCGCCGTCTGTGGGAAACGACACTTATTCCCACTCTCTTCAACTTTGTCAAGCTGGTTTCCACCGCTCGTACACTCTCTTTTGGCCAAGCATCTCTCTCCGATATGGGGAGCGAAAGAAGCCACAGCACACAGAATGACACCCCTGCTGGACCTAGTATGAAGCAACGAAAGCAGGAAGGAAATAGAGTTACTCTTCAAGCTAAAGTCGATGAGCTAGAGGTTCAGAACAACAAGATAGCGATGAAGAATGAAGTCCTCCAGGAACAATATGAAAAACTTTTCGAGATGCTTCACGAGGCTAGGCAGGCTCAAACACACAAGCTCGTCGCCCCTGTCGAGGTCAACAATCAACTGAATGCCCCCCAACACGGAGGGTCGCCGATATCCGACACGGACATCCCTGATAGGGATCGAGCTACACATCAATGTGATAATCAACATGAGACTTCTCTCAACCCAGCTGCTTCAACCCGAAGCAGGAGAAGTAGAGGAAAACACCTCCTCATAGAGGATGTGGAAGGATCAAAAGCTGTCTATCGCGATTGTCGAGACTTCCTAAAGCAACGTCGAGAGAATCCCATCCACATAAGCTCGAAGATCAATGACCCAAGGGTTTTCTGAAAGACTCGGTCCTCTTCCACGACCCAGGCCAGCCGCCAATCTAGAGAAGGGGCAACAAGTCCCAGAAGAATATGAAGGTACTGGGGACTCAGAAACATTCCGACATACTCACTCTAGAAGTCAGTGTGGCGAGTCCAGAGAAAGATCACGCTATCTTGATCAAACTTTCCTACTTCCAAGAGGCGATGGGGACTTAAAGAAGAAAACTTCAGTGGTGCACGACTCCACTCAGGACCCCCTTATCCTGCAGCTCCTTGAGGAAGTAAACAAGCTGAAGGCTGAACGTCAAGCCGAGATACCTGACTGGAACCAACCCAGGCCTGGCCCTCTCACAAGAAGGATCCTCAACACTCCCCTCCAAGCGAAGACAAAGCAGAAGCTTGACTTACAGCTCTATACTGGAAGGGAAGACTCGATTGAACATTTTAACCTCTTTGAGTCCACCATGGTATACCGGGGACACACCGACGAAGAACGGTGCCTTCTCTTCCCCTCCACCCTCTCTGGCGGAGCTTTAAACTGGTATTGCCGTCTTCCACCTGAGACAGTAGACTCATTTGAAGAGTTGAGAAAGCTGTTTGTCTCTCAACACATCTTCCAGACCGATCGCTTGCATTCCGCAGATGACTTGTACACTATTCACCAGAAGCCGGATGAGTCATTACGAAAGTACGCTGGCCGCTTCAGCCATGAGTATTCTCACTGCGCTGAGGCAGATGACAAGACCGCCCTCAAGGCTTTCACTGCAGGCTTACGTGACTGTTTCAATCTCAGGGCAAAAGGAAGGACTTCCATCCTCACCAATCTCATTTTAATAAAAAGAACAAGGGGCACTATCGCGATAACTCAGGATATCGTCACAATAATGCCCGCCCCCAGGCAGTCAACGCAGTGGGCCAATCACGTGTCAAGACAGGCCCTACCCCGAGGTATGAGACATACACCTCTTTGAATGCTACATGTGCTGCCATCTACCCCAGTATAGCTCACCTGATACCAAAGCCAAAGCCAAGACAGCCAGATTACAAGTCCACGAAGAACACGGGCATGTTTTGCTGCTACCACGAGTATAATGGCCATGATAGTGAGAAGTGCATTATCCTCCGTGACCATATTGAAGCTTTGGCACGTGAAGGAAAAATTGATCAGTTCCTCCTTCACCCTCTAAGGGATAACCGTAACCAACGCCAGGTGAATGTGATATATTCCATAAGCGGCGGCACACCCATGTCTGAATCTTCCAATAGGGCCATGAAAAGCAGTGAACGAACTTTGAGACCTAGCCATCAAGTGTTTCACGTGGAAGACATCAGAGGAGGCAAGTATCAAAAGCCTAACTGGGATCCAATATGTTTCTACCTGAGGAAGAAAGAGGTATCATCTACCCTCACAATGACCCGCTGATCGTGGAAGCTCACATAGCAAATTTTGATGTGAAAACGAATCCTGATAGACACAGGTGCTTCAGTCAATATCATGTTTGCTGAAGCTTTCAAGGCACTTAATGTAGCTGAACACTTGCTCGATCGCTCGATTTCTCCTCTGATAAGCTTCTCTGGCGATATCGTGCAACCTGTAGGGAGTATACACTTACCCTTCACCATTGGTACAGGCCCCTACACAGCTACTATTACCACTAACTTCTTAGTGGTCAACTGCCCGACGGCATACAATGTCATCTTTGGGCGCACAGGCATCAATGATCTCAAGGCCATGGTATCCACACATATGTTGTTGATGAAGTTTCCAACCCCTTTCGGCAATGGGTACATCAGGGGAGATCAACTTAGTGCTCGATCATGTTACAACACTTCAGTCAAACAACAACACCTGCCTGTCCCCAAGGAGACTCTTTTTATACATAACCAAGTCGTAAAGACCAGTCCAGATGAATCCAACTCGGGTCTTCAGGATGGCAACAGTCAACCCGACGACCCTCGAGATGACTCATTCACCCAGCAAGCACAACCCGCTGAAGAGTTAGAGAAGATCTCTATCTCCAAAGACCATCCAGACCGCATGGTGAATATTGGCACCACTTTGTCACCACCCCTTCGGTTGTCGCTGATCTCCTTTTTGCAAGAGAACGCCGAGGTCTTCGCTTAGTCATATAAAGATATGCCGGGCATCTCTCCCGATATCATCTGTCACCACTTGAGTATTGATCCCAAGACCAAACCAGTAAAACAGAAGCGAAGATCTTATGATGTTGAACGATACGAGGCGATGAAAGCAGAAGTTGAAAAACTCAAAGACATAAGCTTCGTCCGTGAAGTCAATTACCCAACATGGGTAGCAAATGTTGTCCTTGTTAAGAAAAATCCGACCAAGGAAAGTCTCCTGCTTCAAAAGGTCTTGTGGAGAATGTGTGTCGACTACACCGACCTAAACAAAGGATGCCCGAAGGATAGTTTCCCCCTTCCTCTCATTGATAGACTTATAGACTCTACGGCAGGGTGTGAGCTCTTGAGCTTTATGGACGCTTATTCAGGATACAACCAAATCATCATGAACCCCTCAGACCAAGAACACACGGCCTTCACTACTGACAGGGGACTATATTGCTATAAAGTCATGCCTTTCGGCCTAAAGAATGCAGGAGCAACTTATCAGAGACTGGTCAATTCAATGTTCGCCCGAACAAATTGGGAAAAGCATGGAAGTTTAACGTTGATGATATGCTAGTCAAAAGCAAACATGCTGACCAACACATCACCAACCTATCTGAAACTTTCACCATTCTAAAGAGGTATCGAATGAGGTTGAACCCCAACAAATGTGCCTTCGGCGTGGGCTCTGGCAAATTCTTAGGCTTCATGATTAGCCAACGAGGCATTGAAGCTAACCCTGAAAAGATCAAAGCAATCCTCGACATGAAAGAGCCAATAACTTCAAAAGACATCCAAAGCCTTACTGGCAAGGTGGCAGCCTTAACCAGATTCATCTCTAAGGCCACAAACAGATGTGCTCCTTTCTTCAAAGCACTCAAGGGAAATAAGAAGTACATTACATGGACGGAGGAATGTGCCAAGGCATTCAGGAACCTCAAAGAGTACATGAGTAAAGCCCCTCTGCTCTCCAAACCAGAAGTTGGTGACACTCTCATCATCTATCTATCGGTTTCGGCTTCAGCAGTCAGTTCTGTTCTTATTCGAATGGACAGTGGTGTCGAACGGCCCGTCTACTACGCTAGCAAGGCCCTACAAGATGCGGAGACACGATACTACTCCAACATTGAGAAATTAGCTCTAGCATTGGTCATGTCTGCTCGGAAAACTTCGCCCTTATTTCCAA